AATTTAGTTTTGAGGATGAAACAGCTGAGATGGACCAATAGGTCCCATGTTGTCCCAAAATATTATGCTATGTTAATACTAAAACAGCATATACTTACTAATGCTTATTTTAACCATAACTACAACAGCACATACTTACACCACAATCATATTAGTCCCACTTATTTCAGGGTAAAGATACCAAAACCAAGAAAATACAATGTATATGCATTTAGTAACTTAAAAGGGAATGTAACTGGGAAATTATCAAATAAAATATAATAATTATATCAAACAACTGAAAATAGTTATACTAAATCTGAGAGGAAATAAAAAGAGTAAGTTTTTCTGTCATGTTAAATGTTAGAATAATTCGATAACATTTTACTTCCAGGTGATTATATTTACTTCTTGAATGTTTCAGTGAGGCTTCTACTTAAAAATATCCCCTGTCTGAAGAACCTTCCAGCCCATGAATGAACTTAAGATCCTGAAACAAGTAAGGAAGTTAGACAGAAAGAATACTTTTAACTGAAAGATAACTATACCAAAGTCAACTGAAAGAGTTCGTAAATGTAATTAAACAAACGTTATTGGAAAGAGCATATAGATATATATTTACACCAAAATCATCTAAAACAGTATGTAATTGCAATTACATTAGAATGAACTAAAAGGTGATGTAGATATAATTACAATAGAACCATTTACAAGTGAAACACAATTCCATTAATGCTATAAAACCTGATTATGGTTAACTGAAGATCTTGATTTCAGTAAAACTTACACTGGGGTTAACTTACCTGAGCAAAATCCACTTCAGCAGCTCCAATGTCTCCTTTTGCAATGTCAATGGCTGCTTTAGCTCTGTCTTGGGCTTCTTTAGCTTCATCTAACAGCTGCTGTACTAATTGAGCATTACCCAAAATGCTATCTGCATTGATCCTAAATAAAAACGATGTTAAAGTTTTGTCTCAACTGAAACATAAACACATTTTAATCTTTATTGCTAAAATATGACCCTGAGAATAGAAGTTGATCAAGCTGAGGTTGTCTGTCTGATTATGTCATAACTTTCAGCCAAAGTTCCATACAAACATTGTTATGTGGATTTCATATTTACCTGATGTGTACCAATAAATTGAGAAGTTCAAATAGATCTCATCACGATGTACATACACATAGTTTTAATTACTGTATAAATTATATAAAATCATGTAATAATTGTCATTATTGATATTGTTTATCTATCTTTATATATTATTCTATACCACCAAACATACTTTGCTTGGTCAGCTCTTTCCTTAAGGCCTTTAGCAAGATGTAGACCACCTTCTGTAGCACTCAGGATGGCATCAATGTCTGTTAGACTCTTGATGGTGTCATTAATTTGCTGGGCTAACTTTGTGATCTGATCTGGTTGGAGAGAAATCTTCAGGCCCAGACACTGGATAAAGAGTAAGTGATAGTTCTAACAAAGTTACCCAATCAAACTATTTACTGGTAACTCTAATGTACTATCAAGTTCAACATATTCACCAGCTCTATCAACACTACCTGGTCAAACTATTTACTGGGCTGGTGAATATGTTGAACTTGATAGTACATTAGAGTTATCTAACAACACTACCTGG